GGACCCGAACGCAGTTCACTACCCCTTCGTCCAGTCCCCGGGGTATGAGGACCAGTACCCCCACCTGCCGGCGATGGTGGCGATGACTTCTAGTGGAGAGAGTACCTGGTTATGGACTTGATTTCTGTTCCAGACTGAGACTCCATGTTTTTGTTGTTTCGTTTGGATTTTTTTTTCTTTTATTTTGGTTTGTAGACTTGGGACTCCGGTTCTATCACCCAGTGTGTGTCTTTTGTTGATTTTAGCTCTGTGCCTCGGACTGGGTCCCCTTCCAGTCCTCTGCTATTGTCTGGTCTGCCTCTCCATCTCCGTTCCTGATCTCATTTCACGGTAACATCGTTCTCCTTCCCTCTGCTCCATTGAGGACATTGTCGCATTTAAGTGTGGGGGGGGGGGGGGGTTCTTTGTATTAATTGGAACGTGTGTATGGGTGCTTGGAGCCTAGTCCACTGTCCAAATCTCAAGATTTGAGGGCTCCAAGCACTGCTGTTTGCTTGATAATTGATCGTATTGGCACTGTGGATGTGATTAGAGAATTGAATGGCTTTTGACTCGATGCATGACAACTTGAGTGTGACTAAGATAGCCTATTACGATGACTGAGATGTGTAGTAGAGTTGTGTAGGGGTTCAGTTTTAACTGTTTGCTTACCAACTGTGACTTGCATTTGATCACTTGCTTTTGACAGTCCATTATGCATCTATTTCAGGGAATCAGATGTGAGATAGAGCATATAGGTAGCCATGTGAGATTTGAGCCTGCTCGTTTCTTTCTTCTGCGATAGATCCCTCTTCCATGAAATGTAGCATTCACGTTGTCACTAACTAAGATGATGAAGGCATAGGATTAGCCCACGACCAAACTGACTGTCCTGATGTGTCATATCCCCTAGTCAGCCCCTTTGAGCCGTGTGTTATCCTTTCTTTCGGTCTAAAATGAAAAATCACCCTTTGCATCTTTTTAGAAGGTTCCACAGAGTGGTCTTTACATGTTTTCTGCTGTTTCTGCTAAATGTAATATGAGGGTTGGAGGTAGTGCTTAAAAGTTGGGCGTGTGTTTGAAAAATGTGCATAAGTGGTGATTCTCTTAAGGAATGAATAAAGGAAAAAAAAAGAAGAAAAAAAGGAAATCAAAGAGAGCCACCACCAAAAATCTGAGTAGTGCCCATTAAGTAGTGTTTCCTAGCAGTCTGGCTTGGAAATGCTAACATTCATATAACCTCCTTCGCTCTTGTGCCCTAAAGAATTTGATTAACGCAGAATAGCAGGACGAAAGTTACTGGTTTGCTTGATTGTGGTTTTGTTGGGTTTGGAAATGTGGAACCTTGTGCTATAACTGCCACCACCTAAAAGGCCTTTTCCCCATGTCCAAGACCCTAGCCAGTCATTTGAACCTGTGTCTAAGACCTCCGGATTAGTTAGTGGTGACACCCCCTTTGTAACTCTAGCATTTAGAGGCTGCATTCATGGTGAAGAGACATTAGGGATTGAGAGAATAAGCATGCGCATTTTTTGCATCAATTTGTCCTGACCCCACTGGTCGAGAGTGAGCGATTCATTTTCTCATTTTCTCTATACTCTTTACCCCGGTGAGGACCTAGATTGCTCGGTCTTAATTCTGATATCTTGAGCTTTGTGCATGAAGTGACTATTTTGAACAAGTGGTTGAGTCAAGTCTATGTTGGTTGGTGAACAGAAGAGAACTCTTCCTCTGCTCGACTTTATTGCATTCGAATGTCATCTGTGGTGGTTGTCTAGGTTGTTGTTCGAGTTGCCATGTGTTGATGATCGAAAGCCAGTATGATCCACGTGTTTTGTGCTGAAATGATTTGCCCTAAAGCCTGCTTGATTGAAATGTCTTGAGCTTACCTGGTGTCTGACTTGGTTTGCTTAGGGACAAGCAAACGGTTAAGTGTGGGGGAGTTTGATAACGATGTAATTGCATGATTTTATACCCCTATTTCTTATCCATTTGCGGAGCATAGTTGTGTGTTTTGGCCTATTTTACACCGGGTTGAGCTATTTTGTCCTATTTCAGGTCCCAGGCGTCGAAGGGAAGGCCAAGCTCGAGTTTCGGAGCATTTGGAAGTCGTTTGGTCGAGCCACGACCAAAACACGGGCAGGAGGCCTTCAGAACACGGCCGTGCTCCTGGCCGTTGCTTTTACTGCCGAGGCTCTCCATGTGTGGGCTGCAACAGCTAAAAAAACACGGGCGGGTCAACCAAAACACGGCCGTGTCCCACCCAGAACACGCCCGTGTTTTCCACAGCCCGTGCCCGTGTAATTACCACGTGGCACGAGGGCTACGGGCGGGCTGGACCAGAACACGGCCGTGCCCTCGACCGTGTTCTGGCCAGTGATGCCCTATTAGGCATATTTCAGCCAAAAAGAGAGGGGATTCGAGTTTTAGAGAGACAGAGCGATTCCTAGAGAGAGAAAGCGACGAACAAGAGTCTCCAAGTGCCCTAGCTTGATCTTCATCACCATTGGAGCTTGGCTTGAGCTTGGAAGAGTGCCGATCAACGTCCAGGAGCTGAAATCCATCCTCACAGTATGGTTTCCGCATCTGATTCTGCTTTTGCTTCTTTCTCCATGGAGTAGTTCTCCCCTTCATCTGGGTGTGGGAAACCCTAGATCTGTATGTTAGGATCAATTGTATGAACCCAAGTACTGTTTCTATTATTTGATTCTATTCGATTGAGGTTTGAATGATTGAATGACATGAATCCTGATCAAATTCCTGTTGTTTCTGCTTTAACCTAGAATGAGAATATCTGCCTAGGTTGATAGAGCATCCTTAATTGAAGGTAGCGAATTGGTGACTTTAGTCGAGGAGCCAATTCGCTATTCTGTACCAAAGGCAATTCGGTAGTGGAGGTTTGGTTTGTTAGGGCCTCAATCTGTTTACTCCGGTGGAGGTTAGTCGCCCGCTAGAGACTCAGATTGAGAGGGTCTGAAGACCTTTAGTCGAGACTTCAGACTGTTTGAGAACCTTCCGCAGTATACTTATCATAGAAATTGAACTTGGTAATTACAATCCGGCTTAACTGCAATCTAGGGGGAACCATATCCGGGTGACCTCTCTTAACTTGAAAACAACCGTTTAGTTGCTTTGCTTGCTTGTTAGTTTAGATCTTCACTAAAGTTTCATTGCTAGATAATACGAATTCACTGAGTAGTCATCACATCTAGGACCCGGGTTGACATTAAAACCCAAACCCGCTATACTACGCTTTAGGAAGTGGTTACACTTGGCCATTTTCTAGAGTGACAGTAGGAGTGAGTCAGATGTCCATGATGTTGAAAGGTCGGAACATAGCCGCCGCTGCAGCTTGGGATAATCGAGGGAAAGCATTCTTGGGGAGCCTGTCTTCATAAGGGGTCATCCTGCAAGTACGTGTTAGTAAAAACTCAAAAACAAGAGAAGCCAGAGCTTGAGAGTTTGTCACCCAATTCCCGTTGTCATCCTGCAGGGCCTCAATCTTGTTAAAACGTCTCCTGATGTTCACTTGCTGATGAAAATAAGCCGTGTTCCGCTCCCCGAATTTGACCCATTTATCTCTGCACTGTTGGAACCAAATAAGCTCCTCCTGCTCCATGACCTTATCCAGCTCAGCCTCTAGCTTAGTGTGAAGTTTGGCCAAGCCTGGGGCAAAACCTGAAGCTAGCCGTCCCTCGATTCCCTTCAGACGAGCCACTAGCCTCTTCTTCTTAAGCTTGATATTTCCAAAAGTGTTTACGTTCCACTCGGCTAATTTACTAGAAAGCTTGGAGAGGCATCCTGCCAAGGGGCAAGAGGCTCCCATGACTCTGCCACCACATTCTGTAAGCTCTCATTAGTAAACTAGGCCGCCTCGAACTTGAAATGGCGAGGACTAGGTTGCGACCCTTGATTCAGCACCACCGACGTGAGTATCGGGTTGTGATCCGATTGGATTCGGGGAAGGTGCAGGACAGAGGTGTTAGGGAAATCTGTGTTCCACCTCAGGTTGCACATGCTCCGATCGAGACGGCTGGCCTTGAAGGTTTGCTGACAATCGCCTCTCGTCCAAGTAAACTTTGGACCCGAGTACCCGAGGTCAACGAGCTCTGCAAGATTCATCCATTCATTGAAAACCTCACACCGTCTCAGAGTATTCCTTGCCGGTGGCCCATACCTCTTGTCCGGTGAGCTAATGGCATTGAAATCCCCGGTGATCAGCCACGGGATGTCGATGCACTTACTCTGGGCAATCAAGTTGTTCCAAAGAAATTTCTGCTCACTAGGCCGAGGAGAAGCGTAAACTGCAGTCAAAATCCACTGCGGCCCATTGGTCTGAGAAACTCGTAGGGAGATGTGCTGATTACAAGCGGAGACGAGATGCGTAGTGAAAACCCCTGCATCCCAGAAAACCCAAACACCGCCCTTCCTCCCTTCTGCTTCCACGCGCATCGAGTTGGGGAACCCCAACTTGTCACAGACTGCATTTGCTGAATCGCCACTGATTTGGGGTTCGAGCAACACTACAAAGTCCGGCCTATGATCCTTGATAGACATTTTCAGAGCGCGGGCAAAAGCTCTACTACCTGCGCCACCAACATTCCATGAAAGTATTTTTAACAGAGACATTATTGACATAGCAAAACCAGAAGGGTACGACTAGGGATCCAAAATCGAGCTAGCATTAGGTCAGGGTCTGGGATTCATTGCTTCCACAATCTGTGGGCGCGTTGGTGCCGCCTGTAACGACTACCACCTTCTCCCCTGAGTTTCCAGTGACTTCTTTTGCGGCTGCTGTCCACGCATTTATTTCCTGCAGGGTGAGCGAAGCAATTATGGCCTTAGATTTAGGCTTCCTTTCCTTCATGGGGGACCAGATTTGCAGCGGCTTCGCGTGATTAAACTTTGCTGGCGATTTCTTGCTTGCTGTCTTCTTACTCTTGTTTCGTTTGGTTCTGGTCGCCACCGACGACGAGGGATTGTTCGAGGCATTGCCATTGTTGTTCGGCTTCTGGGGGGTCTCAATAATCTGCAAAATGGTGCCGTTCTCACCGGTTACTATACGAACAGTGGGTGGTGGGGAAAGAATGGTCGTCGCCTTCACAAAGCCTGCCGATCCAAGACCAGTTGGTTCTGGTCCTGGGGACGAAGTGGGCTGAAAGCCCGTCTCGATAGATGAAGAGTAAGCCCCATTGAAGGAGCTGGACGGCCCTGAGGAGTTGGTGACTTTCTGAAAACTGGGCCCCGGCCCAAGGACTCCCTTTCCTTTCCCGGAAGCATCCGTTCCCGCCTTTTCATTGCCGCGTATCGTCTCCGAATTTCCTTTCTTACTATTTGGGGATTTCTTCACAGGAGAGATTGCCGATGATGGTAAGGGACCGTTGAGCTTTTTCTGTAAAGGCAAGTCTTGGGGAGGGTCTTTTATAGTCGTTCCTCCTTTCCCACTCTGGGGAAGACCTTCCTTATTAGATTTCCCTGTATCACTCTCTAACTTTCCTTTTCTAGGAGCTTCCCTCGAATTTCGCCGGCTTTTCCTAGTCACCAGCATCCATGGCCCAAAACCCGGATTGCTGTCCGCCGACGACGTTGCTGACGCCGACTCCGGTGAGATCGTCAAGTTGGAAAGAGACTCTCCAATTGCCGGCAAGGCCAATATAGGCGCTGGTTGATTATCCGGGCAAAGACTCCGGTCATGCCCGATCTTCCCGCATTTGAAGCACACCTCTGATAGATTCTCGTATTCCACTTTCTGCCATTCATCGTCCAACCAAATCCGGGGCACCAGGTGTTTTGTCAAGTCGACCTCGACCGCTAGTCGAGCGAATTTTGCACGCTGCTGTGTGAGGGTGTGGTAGTCAAGCTTGATTGTTCTTCCAATAAGGTTCCCCAGGCTGGTCAGGATCTCTCTATGATAGAAATGAATTTTCAGAGCAGGAAGTTGCACCCAGACTATCATCGTCTTCGGAAGAGGGTCCGACGCCTTGAACCGGGGGGACCATTGTTGAACCACCAGGTAGTGATCGTAGATAACCCAAGGGCCATCTGTGAGGGCGCGGTAATAGTCCTGTTCATTGTCCAAATTAACTAGGAAGCAATCGTGATCAAGGTCCTTCACTTCCATGTTCCCCTGCGGCCGCCACAGCCCTTTGAGTCGATTACATAGGTTGGTAAATCCGATCCGCAACCCTAGAAGACGAACGACCAGTGCTCTTTGCCACGGTGCACAAATCTTGGACTTGAAGTCCGCTGAAATCGTCAGGGCCGGTTCGCCATTATATTTTCCGGGCACCAAGTCATGTCCCCCACCGGCGTCCATAGGCGTGCTTGATTCTGAAGAGGGATCGTAGGCATCTCTCACGTGACCGCTGCCGCATAGGAAAATCGTTGTTGGCGAGCCCCTGTTGCCGCTTGGTCCGATCGGTCCTGCGTCTTCCCGTTAGCTGTGCCTTGCGGAGACAAAGACATAGAATCAGAATCAATAATCATGTTAGAAGAGGACGTGGCCAAAACCACGTTGACTGGTGTAGAATCTGGAGCGGCTATCGCCAAGCGTCGAGGTGGGTCTGGCGGCCGATCCGAATGCAAAAGGACAGGCGCCGGCGTCGTGGTTCCGGTGACAGCAGTTGAGAGCATCTTTTTTTAAGTGCTTGTAATTAAGTGTCATATATGTAATACATTGACATAAACTGAAGGAATTATTTACTGCTGCTTTCCATTAAAAATGACAGGGAAAAAATCGGTGCTTCAGATAAGAACTCGATAATAATGGGAGCGGATCCTATCAATAACCTATAGGTGAATAATTATTCATAATTCAATCAGAATCCGACACATCAGCATCTCTTTCTAGTGGAAAGTCTTTAATATTTTCTTTTTTAATTTTTAACGGACGATTTCTCTCTCGTTATAAGTCACAGAATTTATATTTTTTGTGCACAGATAAATTAGATTAATTGTGCTCTTCAAAATGATATCCATGATATATTTTTGAAACAAAAAAAATGAGACATTTTTAACCGGTTCATACCACGGTGATATTGATTGGTATCAAAATAAGAGCATATCACATGGTATGAAAGCGTATAACAAGATACCACCCCTTATATCAGGATGGTATAGTATGGTATTTTTTGGTCCTATGTTTTTTTCACCCATAAATTTTTAGATCAAAATAGATCATGATGAACTCGTTCTTTCTGTGCAAATATTTTAAAAAGCGACTTAAAAACGAAGAAGATACCATATGAAGTTGGTCACGAGGTATGAAAAAATCTTCTAAAAAAGTATTAAAAATGGATCTCATTTTGTAGAGCACAATAAACTTGTTTCATTTGTGCAAAAAAAAAAAGAAATCTAAGTTAGAACGAAAAAGATAAGAGCCGATTAAGAAAACTATGGAAAATAAAATATTTTTAATTCTCCACCCTTAGATCTGGATTTTCTGTTTTTTTTTTTTTTAAGTAAGGTCGAGATTTAGTTATGCACCCTAACTTGAGCCGAGACCAATGGCTACGAATAACTGTTGCTTTCTACTCAGCCACTTTCTTTATTATTTTTTTCAAGCTATAACTTATGTATAATACATTTGATTTATATGTAATATCCCGAACCATTTTATACATGACTTTCAAGATTCTCTGGGGAAGCATGTTGTAGCTCTGCTTAGGGGTAGCCAACGGGAAACAGGTATTTGGATATACCCATACTCGTTCCGTTTTTTTAGGGTTACGGGTACCCAAATTCCCGTATTTTTTTTTACGGGATGAGACATGGGATGAAGAAGTTCTATAACGTGTACCCGCAGGTAACCCGTTAACACCTGTTTGGATATTACGGGTACCCGTACTTCCCGTCCACCCAAATTTTATAAAATAAATGGCATTTTATGCTGCAGCAGCCTACGGTATACAACTCAATGTACTTGCCTGCGGCTGGTCAAGTAATTAAGGTCTAATTTTTACATTGTGCTGTCCAATTAAGCTAATCACCTTCCAATCGCTATTAGAAAGTGATGGTTAATTTTAACATGTTTGATCACACGTTCACTTATTACACGCTAATATTTTTTCATTTTTGCTAATCTTGCTTTGATCTTGTGAGGAAGTTCCATTGATATAGTGAGATACTTGCTTGTGATAAACATGCGCTTCTTCTTCCAACAACTTATATAAGGAATCAGCTACTATCATGCAATGGTAAGTGAAATATACTCTGTTATCTTGATTGGTTTTTTTTTTTCCTGACGTTGTGTTCTCACAAAACTAGACGGCGAATGGGTACTCGTTAACCCGTACGGGTTTGGGACATGGGATAAAGTTTTCTCTCCAATTGGGACCGGGTACCCGTTTCAAGCGGGACGGGTACCCAATCCCGTCCCGTTGTCCAGCCTTAGCTTCGCTCTGTTAATAGTATAGGCAGTTGCTTTGTGAACTGAGTTTAAGTGAATTTAGTAGATTATGCAGATTAAGCCGTCTTAGACAAGCCCATCAAAAATAACCCGGTCAACAAAAGAAAAAAATTGTCGATTCTTACGCTGGTCATTGCTTTGACATTTTAAATTTATTCTTGAATAAGATCACTATGGACTGTCAAAGCGACGGGAGTTACAATAGGGGTGGGGGCAAGCCCACTGTTATAAGACAAAATTGAAAGGAAAAAGAAAGCAAACTAGTGATTTCGAAAAAAGCAGACTAGGATCATCTATTCAAAAATCATCCATTACAGATTTTTAAAATCACTCATTTTGTCACGGGGAAGGGCGATGGTCTGATGATAAGCTTAGCCAATGGTTTGACCCGCCTACCTGCAGCGCCATTAAGGCTATTCCACTTCCGCGGCGTAATGTGACTGATAAGCTTATCTGGCATAACACGACAAACGGGGCTTTCTCGGTAAAGTCAGCTTACCATTTGGCTGTAGAGTTGGACAAGAGGAGGGGTGGGTGGCGATCCTCGGCTAGTTGGATTGATAAGCCAAGTTGGATCAGGGTGTGGGAAGCTAAGATCCCACCGAAGCTGAAGGTCTTTGTCTGGCAAATTCTTAACCGTGCTCTACCAACTACGGAGGCGCTTATTGAGAAAAAGGTTCATGTGCTGCCCCGGTGTCCAGTTTGCTGGGATAGCCCGGAGACGATGGAACATCTGTTTCTTTATTGTCCGGTCGCGTGGGCTCTCTAGGGACTATTCAGGGCTGGAATACTTGGGGGAGGGTTTGCCTCGGCACACCTTTCCATTATTTCTCAAATGTCTGCTGGCGTTGATCCATCAACCGTCGTTGGTTATGGTTGTTGTTGCCATCCTTTGGCGAATCTGGCGGTCTCGTAATTGGGTTGTCTTTGAAGGCAAATAGTTTGGGATCCCTGCCCCGCGACAATTTAACCAACAATATGAGGAATGGATGGGCTTGCCAACAGACTAGGCTCCTAGGGTGACGAGTCTGTTGGTTCAGCTAGCGACTCAAGTGGGTGATTCACGGTTGGTTTGCATGTGGGATGGGGCCACTAGGAGTGGGTCGCATTCGGCTGGTGGGATGGTTATTTTTGACCCGGAGCGGACGCTACTTCTGGCAAAAGGGGTTCAGTTTCTACAAATGGATGATCCAGCAGTGGTGGAATTGCTTGTGCTTCGGGAGGCTATTATTTGGTGTTTGGAGTGTGGCTTGTTGGAGGTCCGGTTCGAGGGCGATGTGAAGGTGATTATTGATAAAAGTAATCAAGCCGACACAAGGGATAACCAGTTGGGTGCGGTTCTGGAAGAGATAGGTCATTATTTTCGCACCCAGCCTGAGTTTAGTGTGCGATTTATAGGTCGGGAGAACAATAGGGTAGCTCATTCGGTAGCTAGAAAAGCCCTCTCTTTGTATCCGACTATGTGTCGCTTCTTTGATTTCCGGGCCTGGCTGGTTTCCAGGATGTAACTATCTATTTATTTTGGATCAATATATGATATCTTTTGACCAAAAAAAAATCACTCATTTTGAAACGTATCAATTTTCAAATGAATTATTTAGTGAAAAATCAGGTTGAGAAGGGATTGAGGTGAAATATCTTCTTTAAACCCTTATCAAACGTGAAACGACCCATAAAAGTTTGGCAAACATAGATCCGTTAAGCTGACTCCAATGTAACATTAAGTAAAGAAAAACTAAAAAATCATCCATTAAGTATAGAAAAACTTAAAAAATGAAGGATCCCAAATTTGGAAATAGTAATATTGGAGAAAAATGATGAAAATGGGATCATCCTCAAATCTGGAGATGAAGGTTTGTGGAAAAGCATTGGAGTTGATCTTACTAGGGATTCTTTTGTCATTGATTATCGGAGCATGATGCTGCGTGTAATTTGGTCTTCGTTAGGCCACAGGCCACAGCCCACTAGCCAGAAGCCCACAACAAATTAAAAAATAGGATAAAAACCGAAAACCCCCAAAATCGTAAATCGGATCCCTAATTTCGTAAACCCGAACCAAAAAGGGGAAAATCCGGGAAGGACGACGCCGAGGAGCGAGAGCAGCGAAAGAAAAGCAAAGCGGCAGCCGAGGGCTCAGACCAACCAACCAACCTTTGATAGTTTACGAGGCTGCTAAACCCCTGCTCTCAGATTTTAACTCCTCTTATTCAAAAAACACACGAGCCCGGTAAAACGACCGTTTGATTACCCATTCCCGCCATGATGGCTCAGCTCGACCACCCTCAACAGCTCTCACCAGAGTCTCAACCTTCTCCAGAGGGCGTCGAGCAGACCAAATCCCTCATCTCTGCTCTCGGTTTCGTCTCGCGGAACCTCCCTCTGCCTCCCCACCTCTTCCAAACCGTCTCCTCTATCTATCTTCAAGAACCCCACGATGATAACCCACCGGCGGATGATCGGGTCGCGGGCGAGGTGGGTGCGCTGCGTTGTTCTTGAGTGCCCATTTGGTTATTTGGGGGTTCTGGTGGGATTTGATGGGAACCCCTTTTGGTTTTTTTTTTTTTTTTTTGCAATTTTCGAGATCAAGTTCGGGGCTTTGACCTTTGAATTTCGTCATTTTGCAGTTAGATGTGTATGTCGTCGGCGGGTTTCTGTGAATTTTGGACTTTGAAGTGTTGGGATTGGAATGGAAGTTTTGTGTATCGAGTTTTTCCATAGCTGTCATTTTTTGCTACTGACTGAGTGTTCGATTTGTCTTGCATTGTGAATTTAGGCCTTCTGGTGGGGTTTGATGGGAACCCCTTTTGGGTTTTTTTGTGTTTCTCGAGATCAAGTTCGGAGCTTTGTCGTTGAATTTCTTCATTTTGCAGTTACATGTGTATGTCTTCCTCGGGTTTCTGTGAATTTTG